ATTCAACACTAAAAACTAGTGACTATTCTCTGTGCTTCCCCCAAAATGCTCCTGGTTTTGGCTCTAACTTTGATGTGGAGCAGGACTTGGGAAGCTGAATTGGGTGACATCACTGTTTGGATGAGGAGTAGATTCACACTAACCACAGGGCTACATCCAAGACTGAAATTTACAGAACGCATTTATGAAGCCTATTTTTCTATCTTCCATTTCCGTGTGTGTGTGTGTGTGTGTGTGTGTGTGTGTGTGTTTGCATGTGTGTGGGCATTATATATGTGTGTGTGAGGGATACCTAGAATCATACTTGATTGCTCTTCTACCTTATTCATTGAGGCAGGGTCTCTCCATCAGACTTAGAGCTGTCAGACGTGGCTAGTTTTGCTAGCCAGCTTCTTCCACCTTTTGAGGCTGGAATGACCAGCAGGCCACCAGGCTCACTCATCATTTACACAGGTTCTGGGGATCTGGAGTCTGGTCCTCACGCTCACATTGGCAAGCGCTTTAACCATTGAGCCATCTCCTCCACCCCATAAATACGATTTCTTGGAAGTACATAATACTTTATATCTTAATGATATTTTCTCAAATTAGGATTGTTTTCTAGTTTTGACTGTGAAGAAATTAACTCACATCTCAAACCTACCCTTTAGTGTGATATTATACAATTTTAAGGCACAAAAATCTTTTCATTCAGAGCAAAGCTTTATTATTATTTTTTAAATACTTGTCTTTTCTCCATATTGAGATCTCCATTATTTTGATATGGATGTGTGACAGATGATTATAGGAGATGAAGTGGAAGTGGGTATCTTGTCCATGTTGCCATGGAGATTATGATTTGGTTGACAGTAGCGAGCTCAAAAATGAAATAGGACCCAGGGAATGTGTGCTTCCCTGGGATGTTATAGATGGCGCACTTCCTGTAATAACCCATGGTGTGTCGACAAGTGGGCAGTTGAACAGTACATGGCCGGCAGGCAAGTACTGACATTCAGTCTAGTGTCATCAGGATCTATGTTAGATCAATAATAAGATGGGCAGTGGCTCTATTTTCCCATTAGAGAAAAGTCCACAAATGTATTCCAGCATAGCAAAGCGAAGGTCTTCATAAAATTATCTCCATCACCCCACTGCTTTATTGGCAATGACTCCTTTCTCATTTTCAACATCCTAACTAGATGACAGGCAATCAGAGATTCCAAGAGTGACTGAGGTAATTACTGTGAGCATCAGGGTTCCAATGCTGTCTTCTAGTCATCATGATTCAATTTCCTCCATGTAACTAAAGCTGACGACACATCAGCTTCCTGGGAAGTTGTGCAACATAATCACCGTGAGGGCCGAGTGGATGGCCGTTTAGTGGACAGCTGGGCACCAGGTTGACCTAGCAGATGACTGAAATGATGTAAGATTCCAATCCTTCATTTGGGACAGTGTCCCTAACAAGCTCTTCAAGCAGCATAGGGTCTCCTGAGGGGCAAGTACTCACTCAAAATCTCATTGGAAGACTGGATAATACTAACAGAACTAATTTTTTCAGTTCACAGATACCATTATATGCTGAGATACGATCCTTGCTCTCTCAAAATCTCATTTTAAGACTGCCTAATATTAGCAGAAATAAATTTTTCAAGCCGTGTGATACGCTGATATATGGTCCTTGCTCTTCTTTAGGACATTAGCTGTTTGTAAATCATATTCTTATTTGCAGATCTCAGGATGACACTTTGCTGTTTTAAAACCTTGGGGACTTAAAAGACACTTGAAATCAGTATAATGTGTTAGAAACTGGACTCCAGCCTTGTTAGAGTCCTGGAACCTTTGCTTATGTCTAGAAGGTTTCAGCAAGTCCCATTTCACTACCCTGTTGTGGTGTCAATCAAATGAAAGTATCCACAAGCAAGCATTCTGCAAACCACCAATTGCAGTTCACATGACAGACATAAAGAAGGTGGACAGTGCTGCTGTGAAGGGTCTCTTTCCATTTTAAGCCATAGACAATCATTCAAGTTTTATTCCTGCAATGTTTCCCTTGATGGAGTCTTATGCCAGTGAGTGCTGCAACCACGAGACTTCTGTTTCTCTGGACCCTTTAAATCAAAAGCACCAAAGGCTTATTAATAGAAGAACTCCGTGTCACAGAAACTGGGAGTGAAGATATACCAAGTGTGTCCTTCCAATGGATGAACTCAGACCTGGCTGGGTGTGGTGGTGCATCCCTTTATCTCAGACCCCAGTAGGCAGAGGGAAGCAGATCTTAATGAGTTTGAGGCCAGCTGGGACTACATGGTAAGACCAGTCTCAAAAGCAAGGAAACAAACAGACAAATGAATGAACGAACAAAACAAAAATATGTGGATTTGGGGTTTGCACTTGCCACCAAGCTAGGCAAGCTGAGTTCAAACCCTGGAACCCACAAGGTAGAAGAAGAGAACCAACTCCTGCAAGTTATAAGTTATCCTCTGACTTCACACATGCATTGTGATCTCTCCCTCTGTGTCTCTGTGTCTCTGTGTCTCTGTGTCTCTGTGTCTCTGTGTCTCTCTCTCTCTCTCTCTCTCTCTCTCTCTCTCTCTCTCTCTCTCATGCACACCTGCGCTAAATAAATGTAAAAACAAGTGCAGCCCTGGGATTGGCCACCCACTCCTTAGATACAGGCATATTCCTGTTTTTTGTACTCTGGCCTCCTTCATAGGATTAACTAATTGATGTATAAGGTGGGCATGTGTGCCTAGAACTGCAGAGAGATTCTGGGAGACCCCAAAGACACCTCCAAATTGATGTGACTGCTGAGCGTCAGTCAGAACTAGTTTTCCACCTTGTTTTCCATTACACTCTTAACCCACCATCACTTCCAGGTGAGGTTTTCTAGATTCAATTTCAGCTAAAATTCAGAGAAAGTTTAAATGAAAGATTCCTTTGGTACAATTGTGTTACAGATAAGAGAAAGGCAACATTTTTTTAAAAAATCATACAAAGAAATGCACCCAGACTTTTATTTTCAGCAGAAACTTGAAATTGGTGGTGGGAGACGTCAGGATTTTGCCTTTCAGTTGGACACACGGAATTGATAGGACTTTACATTTGGAAGCTTTTTAGGTGTGATTCGGTCTGCCCTGTTCCTTTCAGAGTTGATTACACTGAAGGCTGGGGTGCTACAGCACTTGTCTGAGGTCACCTCACTAGTCAGTAGAGGTGTTAGAGCCAAACCCAGGGCCCCTGAGTCACACACAGGCCTGGATTTTGTTCTGTTTCCACATTTTGAACGGAAAGTAAAGTCTGTGTGCTACGCATAGACTAACTTCCTAATAGTAAAATAACACTGTCTATTCTGCCTCTACCAGGAAGCAGTTACCCACCCTACTGGTGTCCATTTCAGTTGCTCCTTCCTTCATTCCCCTTGGTTGAACTTGTGGCATCCTGGTTTTGTTCTGTTTTTATAGGACACCTAATGGGGAAAAAGAGCACGGATGAGTTCCGGTCCCTGGGCGTGTCTGAGGGAGATGGCCTGAAGGAGCAGCTGAGGGAGTACATCCGATGGGAAGAAGCTGCAAGCAATTTGCTGGGCGTCCTAGAAGCCTTGGGGAACAGAAGCCATCAGCCACCTCAGCACCAGCCTACTTGGGATTCTGAGGATGGCAGCTACTCTAGTGATGTTCAACATGCGAAGGTGAAATAAACAGGCTTCTGACACGGGGTGGAAGGTATTTAGGGAGAGTTTAGGGCGGTGGGGGTTGGGAATCTGATCACGGGAACATAAACTGCTTATTGCGAATATTGGTTACTTTTTCCATTGTTGTACAGAAATAGCTGATCAAAAGCAATTTGAGAAAAGCTGGGTTTGCTGTGGCTCACAGTCCGAGGGTACAATCTGCCAGAGTGGGGAAGGTGTGAGAG